AGTTAAGTACATTGTGGCGCAGCCACACAAGGGGACACGGGGCAGCCATTCCAAGAGCGAGGAGGATTCACATGCGCGGGAAAAGAATGATCTTGGAGGGATGTTATTAGAAAAACTAGATTAGAGGATGGGGCTTGGACTTGTGGCCAAAGGAGCTTGCTGGAGCTCCCAGCTACACACACCTGAGCCCCAATATCCCTGGGCCCCTCCAGCCAAAAGAAATTGGGGCTCTGTGGGAGCAGACACACCACTCACTAGCAGAGGGAGGAAGTATGGGGAAGGGCAAAGCGCTGAACTGAGGTCAGGAGTGTTACTGTGGTGTTGCTCCCTCCACAGGGAAACATGAGGAGTAGGGAATAAGTGTTGCCCCCAGCAAATGTCTCTGGAAGGTTACACAGAAAACTGAGAAGAGTGGTTGCCTCAAGAAAGGCTCTGTGTTGGCCAGGCGCGGTGGCTCACGCCTGTAATCCTAGCACTCTGGGAGGCTGAGGTGGGAGGATTGTTTGAGCTCAGGAGTTCGAGACCAACCTGAGCAAGAGCGAGACCCTGTTTCTACTAAAAATAGAAAGAAATTAGCCGGGCATGGTGGCGTATGCCTATAATCCCAGCTACCCGGGAGGCTGAGGCAGGAGGATCACTTGAGCCCAGGAGTTTGAGGTTGCTGTGAGCTAGGCTGATGCCACGGCACTCTAGCCCGGGCAACACAGTGAGACTCTGTCTCAAAAAAAAAAAAAAAAGAAAAAAAGACACTGTGGGAGACTGGTATGAGGGATGGTGGCAGACAGGGTATAGAGATGCAGGAGTGAAGTGTCATTTTTATTCCCTCTTAAGGATGCGTGGGATTCCTCTATATATGAATAACTTCCTGCAAAGCCCTCTCTGGTGAGGTCACCAGCAGTGTCCTGGGTTCACAGTCCTATAATTGATTTACCCTTATTTTGTTTTTTACTGGAGATCTGAATTCCAGATGTCGTCATGGGAGAGTACTAAGGAGGTGACATTTACTCCTCTGTTCCCTAATTTTCCTGGGTGCCAATGGTTCAAACCAATCTTGAGGTACCTTTATATGTCCTCAGACCTTTCTCTTTCCCTGGACTAGAGACCTCACTTGATGTCTTATAAAAACTGAACCCTTTCTGGAATACGCAGGAGCGTATTCCTAACGTCTAAAACCTCCGACTGAAAATGTGCCCAGGGCTTAAAGCAGCGCCTCCCAGACATCAGGCATTTGAGAACCACCCCCAGGATTTTTGCTCTCACGGGACCACCTGGCCTTTTTCCTTACATAACAGTTTTTCTTGAATGACTCATGTTTACAACTTAATAAATTTGTTTTAAAAGGATATTTTAAATCACTATTATAAATAATATTACTTCCTACAAAAAAAAAAACCTTAAGTATAACAAACCAAAAAAAAAGGTATTAAATTCTAGCTACAAACTATGGCCTAACCAAAGATCTGCTTTTTCTTCTTGTGAAAAAGAAATTAGCAAGTATTAGAGACAGACTAGCGCCACACCGAGTCTCTTTTCTTGGTGGATTTAGAAGGATTGGAATGAGGACTTTCTGTCTATATGATTCAGTGTTAATGCTCTAGCAAAGCATGATCCAAAATCATGCCTTAGAACATTTGAGTTCCACGCTTTGGAGAAGAATGGGTTAAAGCCTTTTTTTTTTTTCCTTTTCTAGAAAGTGTCAGTTATGTGTCCCTATGCATTTGCGTCATCTGAGCTGGACAATATATGAAGCCATTTGTGGCCCTGATGAAGCTGGCATTCTGGCATTCCAGCTGATATTGAAGTAACATGGCATTCCAGCTGATATTGAAATAACATGGCATTTAGCATGGTACACGAACCTTTTTTCCTGAGGTCAGAAATGCATCTATTTGAGAGAAAAAAAAAAAAAGAAAAAGAAATGCATCTATTTAGAGGCAATGTATGATGGCTGCTAAGAATGACGCAGGACTAAACAAAGGGGAATTTGTCCTTTTTCAGGGAATTGGAAGAATCTCTGAACTGGTTCATTGGGTTCTTTCAAGTGGTGATGTACAGAATTGCAGCTGGGACCTCCCAGACTGAGTTCTGCAGCCACACAGCTCCTGGCTCATCCTCTCAAGGAGGCGCCCCTTTGAGAGCCCGCAGGCAGTGATCAGTCCCATGAGGGAGTAACGGGGTGAGAATGAGCAGGTTCAGAGAGCAGAGCTGGCAGAGAAAGGGTGGCGAGTTTGTGCAGTGCCTGTCCACTAGAGGAGGTGGGCGAGTCGGTACCAGAAAAAGGCTATTTTAAATGATCCTATTTCAGAATATCAGTGGGTGCTCAAACTATTGGGGTGAAAGTTTCCTGAGAGATAGGATCTTTACATTATTTCAGAATACCTCCCCACAAATGCTACAAATGGACGAACCTTGGAAACGTCACACTAAGTGAAAGCAGACAGACACAAAAGGCTACATATTGTATGATTCCATTTATATTAAATATTCAGAATAGGCACATCCTTAGAGACAGAAAGCGTGTTAGTTGTTGCCCAGGGCTAGGGGGAGGGGAGAATGGGAAGTGACTGCTTAATGGGTACAGAGTGTCCTTTTGGGGTGATGAAATGTTCTAGAACTAGATAGTGGTGATAGATGTACAACATTGTGAATGTAATAAGTGCCACTAATGGTAAATCTTATATTATGTGAATTTTACCACAATAAAAATATCACCCCCCGCAAATGATTTTTTAATTAGAAAGGGAAAATGTACAGTGAAAGAATCTGGCAGGCCGTAACCAAGTGATCAAAGTTAGCGTCACCAGACTGTGCCTCCTGGTGGGGTACACTGAGGACACATGGCTTATGTTGCATTCTTGTCAAAAAAACGTAACCTGAATCAAATCAGGAAGAAACATCAAACACAAATTTGAGGGACATTCTACAAAATAAAAAGTCAATACTCAAATGCTATCAGTGTCACGAGAAACAGAGAAAGGCTGAGGACCCGTTGTGTACGGAAGGAGACTCAGGAGACATGACACAGTGCAACGCGTCATCTTGCAGTGGATCGTGAGCCAGGAAAACAGAAAGCGATATGAGACGTTATTGGGATAATTGAAGAAATTTGAAAATGGACTGTAAATGTGATAATAATATTGTATCATGTCAAATGTCTCCATTGTGATTATCATACTGTGGTTATGGAGGGAAATGCCTTTGTTTTTCAGAAATACACACTAAAGTATTTAAACGTAAAGAGGTGTGGGTTCGGCAACTTGCTCTCAAGTAGTCCAGAGTGTGTGTGTGTGTGTGTGTGTGTGTGTGTGTGTGTGTGTGCGCGCGCGCGCGCACGTTCGCACACATGCATGTATCAATCCATTTAAAACTGGGGCTAAGATTTCATCCTGATTTGAACTGTACTTTAAAAAGTGAAACTAAAAATTAATTTTATTTTCTACAACATTTTAGTAATAATATCTGGTTGCAATTACTGGAATGAACCAAGTATTCATGTGGTTACACTCTGCCAACCAGATTGATAACGACATCTTCACTTGACATTTCAGTTTCATCAACCAAGATCATGGTCATGTTTGTAAAAAGTGTTCAAAGGTTTCCTCAGTGTTCCCACGTGTGACTTTTAATCCTTTGATATTCAAATAATTCTTTTGAATGCTTTTTTTTTTTTTTTTACATCATCCACATTCATTTTTTCCTCTTTTATTTTGAACTCGTCCAGCTCAGACAGCTCCTCGTGGGTTAATGCCTTTGGTGCCTTTTGAGCAGTCCTCCAGGGTCACTTTCGTCGACTTGGTACGATTCTAGTTCTTTTGCAAGATTTCCAATTTCACTTTGCAGTCGCTTCCTATTGTATATTATTCAAACTGTCCTACCAAAGTAAAAAAGTTACCCTGAAATCTCAGCGGTTTAACATCCAAAGGCTTGTTTCTCAATCATAACATCTATGCAAGGTGTGAAGCTTCAAGGTATTGTGGCTGCACCATGCCCAGCTACTTCCCCAGGGGAGGAAGCGTGGAAAACTCACACCTGCTGTGCCATACTTCCTCAGAGAAATAATGTGCTGTGCAGTTCTGCCCCATTGGTCAGAATTAGTCACTAGGGCCCCGACCTGACTGCAAGGGCGTCTGGGAAATGTAGTCTTCTCCTGTGATCAGAGAGAAAGAAGAAAATCAAATGGCAACTGTATGCCTCACATTGGATTTGTATTTTGGGGTCCAGTGTTGTTCAAATGGGGATAGATACTGAGAAGAGGGGTGTTTGAATGGGAATTAATTTTATACATGGTCAGATCATTAGGAAATGTTTTTGTATTGTGATCACTTTTGCTTTGTTATGAAGCAGGGACTCTGATAGTGAGTCGTCAGGCGAGGAGTTTCTGGGGCGTGGGATCAGGAGCATGTTGGCACACACACAGCTACTCCTTCCTGACCGGGGGCCTGCGGTGTGCTTCAAAGGCACAATGCTTCTCTGAATTAGGGATTTTAATGGGTCCTCACCCCTCCTCCTCTGCAAGGAATATTTGGCATTTGGATCCAACAACAAACAGCTCTTCATGCCAGACTTTTTTGTGCAGTGAAGGCTCCAGGCTCCAGGAGAGGAAAAATGAGAACTGTTTTCTGTTTTCTAAGACCCTCCTAAAATTTGATTTTTAAAATTTTTTTTAGAGACAAGCACTCCCTCTGTCACCCAGGCTGTAGTGTAATGGCATGATCGTAGCTCGCTATAACTTTGAATTTCTGGGCTCAAGCTGTCCTCCCCACTTAGCCTCTCCAGTAGCTGGGACTACAGGTGCTCACCACCACACCCGGCTAGTTTTTTTTTTTAATATTTTTTGTAGAGATGGGGTCTCTCTATGTTGCCCAGGCTGGTCTCAAACTCCTGGCCTCAATTGATCCTCCCATCTTGGCCTCCCAAAGCGTTGGGATTACGGCATGGGCCCCCGTGCCCAGCCTAACATTTGCATATTTTTATTTTTAATTTTGTTTTGTCGTTGACAGACTTGAATCTCTCTCACGCTCTTCAGCACATCCCTCTCTGGACTTTACACGTGACTTCTCACCCCGCCCCGCCCCGTGACAATGTTGGTGCTTCTGGCTTTCATCATCCTCTTCCACATCACCTCCGCCGCCCTGCTGTTCATCGCCACCATCGACAATGTAAGTGCCCCTCCTGCCGGACACCGTGGAACCTGTGTCCTAGAGTCGGTAGGAGCGGGGTGAGAACTCTGCCAAGATGCTCGGGATTTGGGGTTGGCCCATCTTCTGAACCCAGGACTGAGGACTCTTGGCCTAAATATGGGGCTTCTGGAGTGTCCCATGTGCCGGTTTGGATGGCAAGTCCCAGAGGGCAGGGACCTCTGTCCTCTCATCTCAGATTTCCCCCCAGAGCCTGGCTCTAGGAAGCTCTCCAAGAATGTTGTGTGGATTCCCTGTCCTCTAGACCAGCGCTCTCAGCCTCGCCACCCTTGTCATTTTGGGCTGTGTGTCCTTCCTGTGCGCTGTAGGAGGTTCAGCAGCATCCCCGGCCTTTACCCTCTAGATGCTGGTAGCACCTGCACCTCTGGTCGTGACAAACAAAAATGTCTTCAGACATTGCCAAATGTCCCGGGGACAGCAAAATAGCCCTCTGCTGAAGGCCACTGCCCTCTGCCCCAGGGTGACCCACTCCAGGTGACCTCTGTCCCCCACGCTGATACCTCCTTACCAGCTACGATCCCTTGTTGGCAGCCCACCTGGCCACGCCTTCCCCAATGGAGCTCATGCTTGGAACTTTCCAGACTCTATACGTGGCTCTTTAGTATCCAGCTTGCAGCCATATGGCAGGAATATATTTGATAAATAACGCTTTGGCGTAGATTAATATCCCTCCAGGCAGGAAATGAAGCTTTTTAACAGAGCTGCTCTATGGCCATGTGCAGATCCAAAGACATGGCTTCCGTCCTGATAATTTCAGACTGCAGAGATACCGAAGGGGCAGCATTGCTCAGAAAGTCAACAAGTGCTCCGTATGAGTGGCCACCAACTCTGCCTACACACAGGGCTCCTTTTGATTAATCCTCATAACAATAAAGTAACACCTGTCATGTAGACAGCCATTACTGTGGCCAGGGCCTGTGTAAGCCCTTCCGTATACGTCGTCTCCTGTGAGCCTCGCTCCGACTGGACCAGGCAGGGACACTTCTTGCACTGCTTTACACATGAGGGCAGTTTGGCCATGTGGTGGAGTTTACACTGCAGGAAGTGGCAGAGCCGGGATTTGAACCATCCCAGAGGCTCCCGGTCCTGGATCCGGCCAGGGGAGATGAGCGCAGGGATTGCATCCGAGTTCTGGAGCTTCTTGCCCAGCTGCTGTGAGTGGCCTGGGCAGGGACCACGCTGATGCTATGTGTTAAAGTATTTGGACTCCACCATCCAAAGGGCCCACTGTCTGCAAAATAAATGGTATTGAATGTTCTTTTAGAATCTCCTCTTTCCATTTCTTGCATCTAGTCCTTTGGGATCCTGAAAAGGTCCCAGACTTAGTGAGAGGGATAGACAGACATTGGGGGAAGAAAATGCATGCACTGTAGCACCCGAGAGTCCTGTCGGGCACCCCATGGTGTTCATGTTATCATGGCACTTACGGAGAAGACGCAGGTGGACTTTTCTGCCCATTAGTGAGTCTGATGGTGTTCATCATGCATTTGGAATTGTCCCTGGCATCGTCACTGGGCATGTAGTGGGGGCTCAGTGAGTGTTTGTTGACCAGATGGATGGGGGGGAGGGTCCAGTCTTGGGGAGGATGGAAAGTAGAGGGAGGAGCATCTTGGGTGTTGCGGGCAGGAGGGAGCCACAGCAGCACCGAGGGAAATGAATGCATTTGGGCTGCAGGCAGGAAAGTCCTGTCTGGTCAATTCCATCCATCCCGGGTGTTCCCCCCTAGACTCGAACGTTTCCTAACTCTGCCCCCACATCGCCCTGTGGTTCTGGGGGACCTGACGACCGTCTACTCCAATTACCACCCGCCCAGCCTCGTCTCTTTCCCACACCCTGGGAGGGCCTGGGCCACCGCTTGCCCTTCTGCCAACCAGCGTCAGGGCACCGCCGGGAGCTGGTTAGAAATGCAGACTCCCAGGCCCACCCAGCCCTCCCGAGTCAGAGTCCGCACGTGAACCTGACCCCGTGACTCGCTCGCAGGCTGCAGCGTGAGCCGCTCTGGAGCCACTACCGCCCTGCGCACCTCACACCTCACAGCAGTCGGGGTTGGCACCGCTAGCGGACAAACAGCCTTTCTCTGTTTCCGTTCCCTGTCGCAGGCCTGGTGGGTAGGAGAGGAGTTTTTTGCGGATGTCTGGAGAGTGTGCCTCAACAACACGAACTGCACGGAAGTCGGCGACACCTTTGAAGGTGAGCGCGAGCGAGAAAGGAAGATCGGGGAGTGCGTTCTTCGGGGTCCCTGACTCCTCACCTCTCCTCCGCTCGCTGGGCGGGCCTGGGGGGCAGAGGGGACCCGCTCCAGCTGAGTTGGGCTTCGTCCCTTCTCTTCTGCCCTTGGCAAAGCAGAGTTTTCCTTCTCGTCCTTCCCGCAGCTCCGGCTGTCGCGTGGGATTTTCTCTCCCCACCTTTTTATCCGAGCCCCACCTCTGAGCAGGCGCAGTGGCTGCGACTCACCTCCGGTCACCTTTCCCCACCCTGCAGTCACCACGAGTGCTGGCTTCTGCCCCGCGGGAGCTGGGTGACAACACCTTGGGCAGGTCTCTCTCCGTGTCCTCAGTTGTAAAATGGAGCCAGTGACGATGTCCCTGCCATGCCTGCCTCTTCAAATGAGCTAAAATATGTGAGGGGCTTTGAAATACAGAAAATCCCACTTAAAAACATTCCAACCGCTCTCTTTCATCGTGGAATGAGTGGTTCTGTTTCCCTCGTAGAACTGACGGGCGAGACACTTTGGGGTCTCGGTTGCCCGATGACGTGCCGGGTGCCCAGTTAGATTAGGTATTTTAGATAAACAGCAGATACGTTCGTAGTATGAAATGTCCCAAGTATCACATGGGATATACTTACGCTAAAAACTGTTTGTTGTTTATCCGATATTCAGATGTAACTGGGCATCCCGTCGTTGTGTTTGTTTGCCAAAGATGACAGCTCTATTTGGGGAGCAAGGGACCCTACTCACTGGGTCCAAAAGTCTCACCATGCACCGAATAACAACATTCATAATAAAGGCAGCAAAAATTCCAAGCGAAGGTACCATTTACAGAAGGTTTACTGTGAGGCGCGGGTCTCAGTCCTTTACATATGCGATCTCCTAACCCTGTCAGGCAGGGACCATAGGCCCCATTCGAAGATGGGGAAACTGAGGCACGGACCAGTTAAGTTACCCAAAGAGCAAACGATGGAGTCAGGATTCCAATCTCGATGTGCCCAACTCCAAAGCCTGTGCTTCTTAAGTGCAGGACAGGGTCAGCTCTGTCTCCCTCTCCGTCTGTTCATCTGTCACACTAACCTCTGGCCCTGGGAACAGCCGGTCTTCTCGTGCTCTGCAAACGCCAGCTGTGGCCGGTGTGTGTGGCTAGCTGGGAGGGCTCGCTGTGCGCCGTGGCCGTGTTTCCAGGCCTCTGTCCGTGTTCCACGTCCTCCGTGTGGGATTATTTACTTGTTATTTTCTTTAAAACGGGTTGGCGAACTACCGGCCAAATTCAGCCCAACGCCTGTTTTTGTTTGGCCCTTGAGCTGAGAACAGTTTTTGCATTTTTAAAGAGTAGTTTAAAAAAAACACAAAAACCTCAAACCAAAACAAAATTTTAAAAAAAAGGACATTTGACAAGAGATCATACTGTCCACAAAACCTAAAATGTTTACTGTCTGGCCTTTTACTGAAAAGTTTGCTGACCCCTACTTTTTAAAATAGCTCACTTTTTCCTTACATACATTGATTTTAAAGGTAACTTTGCATCCTTACCATAAGTGATGAACTAGCATCACTTGCTTTTAGAAAATACTAGCTTGAAAACCAAATGATGTTACTAAAGTCTGGGCAGACACACTTACCTCCTGAAGGCTGTGAGTCCGTTTCGGGTTCTTCCCATGTTCATAAACAAAACAAACAACCAAAACCCAAATATTAGTGGGTGTTTTAAAAGTACTAAAGCTCCAAGTGGAGAGCTCCTTGGAAGAATGTAAACAAAGCAAAGTGAACAGCCCTCCGGTGAAGTGAGGTTTTGTTTTTTTCCTGCCCTCCTGGGTCCCACAAACACTAACCTCACGGGCACTCTCTGCACCCATCTCCCAACGTTGAGACTCCCTGTCTAAAAACACGTGTCCGACTGTTCCCCCAAAGCCATGTTTTCTACGTTTGCCATCCTACGAGCCGCCTAAACATACAGATTTCTGGTGCCTACCGCAGGATGACGGTAGCAGAATTTCTGGAGGGTGGGGTGGGGGAAGCCCAGGACTCTGTATTTTTAACACGCATCCTGATCATTCCTGAAATTGGGCAAATTTGGGAAGTGCTGCTCTGAGCCGGAGGGTTGCGACTTTGGCCCTACACTGGAGTTCCCCGGGTGGCTTTGCAAACCCCCGATGCCCAGTCTCGGTGCCCAACATTCTGATTTGTTTCATCTTGCTATAGCCTGGTGGGACTCCTTTTTTTAACGGAGTTGTGATTTACAAACAAGGACGTGCACCCTTCCTAAGGGCTCAGGTTGATGCGTTTTGACCATTGTATGAACACCCATGTAACCACCGTCCAAAACAAGATCGAGAACATTCCCCACACGCCTGAGAAGTTCCCCCGGGCCGCTTTCCACTGGCTGCCACCATCCCCTGCCCCCAGGGCAACCGCCTCTGACTTCTGTCGCTGTAGTTGACTTCCGCCTGTTCTTGGACTTCATCCCAACGGGGTCACGTGGTGCACAGGCGGGTCTGGGTGAGGAATCGAGGAGGGCCTAGGTGCTCTCCCAGTGACCCTCCTGTGCAGCCAGAATGAATTAAGATTCACTGCTCTGAACATTTCATGAAGAACTTACAAATTATGCTCCCTCCAGTCGATTTCAGGCAAAACTGCAAAATTGCAAGCAAATAAAAGGGTTTGTCCTTATGTTTCCTGTGCAGCCTGGGCACTCTCCCCTCACCCGGTCTTTTATCCACATCCTGGTGACAACATCCAGCTCGTACACAGGACTCTCTCTTTGCCAGCACCCTCCAAAGCCTTACACAGATGAGTTTCCTCCCCTTTCCTGGCCTGGTGAGGGGGAGCTGTGAGTATTCCCATTTTACAGGTGTGGAAACTGAGGCCCACGAAGGTCACTGCAGTCCCTGTGCTTGTCTCCTTCTCTGCACCACTGGAGCATAACTTCAGCTGTGTCCTTTCTCTCCATGTGACATGCTCACCCCAGAAATTCTCCCTTCTCCACTGAAACCTCCCTGTACTGAGCCCCAAACCCTCACACCCCAGTCTCTGTTAAGGCTGATCTGAAACAAAAGGAACACCCTTACCGCCCTACGGCGTGACCATAAAGGTCACCCTGTGATGCTCCCAGGCTGCTGTGGAGTCTGCAGAGCACTTAGAGAAGGCCACTCGGTCCCCTGAGCCCTGAGTCCATGGCAGTCCCTCTGGGGACCTTTCTAAAGTCCAGCCTCCCAAGGCCCCACCCTGACTTCTTGATTCAGAGTTGACCAGGCCGGAGCCTGGAGATTTGCACTTTAAAAAATCCCCTGTCTGTGAGCCTCGCATTTGGGAGCCGGGACCCGAGAGAGCAGGTGGTTCTCGCTCCGTTTTCCAGATAAGGATGTTGCGATCATCTGGTCAGGCGCGCAGTAGACACCGGAGTGGGGGACTCTGGAAGACTCCATGGCTGCCCCTGTGCTCAGACCGTGTAGACGGCAGCCTGGACCCCGGCCCGTCTGTCTCCCGTCACCCCCAATCCGGAGCTGCTGCAGTCGCCGTGCACCCCGAGGTGCCGGCCGGCCGTGGTCCTCAGCCGTGCGCCCTCGCCCTCTGCCCGCAGGGTATACCACGCTGCAGGCCGTCCAGGCCACCATGATCCTGTCCACCACCCTCTGCTGCATCGCCTTCCTCATCTTCCTCTTCCAGCTCTTCCGCCTCAAGCAGGGGGAGAGGTTCGTCCTGACGTCCATCATCCAGCTCATGTCCTGTAAGTACAGCGACAGGCGTCCTGGGGTAAGCTCTCCCTTCCAGCCGCCCAGGAGGGACGCCAGGAGGAGGGTGGCCAGCGAGGATTTGGAAAGGAAAAGTTGGCTGCCGTGCTGGGACAGGACATCTTACATTCGGGAGTTTGGATTTAGTTAGGGGGTCCGGGAAGGCGTCCGGGAGCCTGGGCTGGGCTCCGTAGGGTGAGTAGGAGTTGATGTCTGGAGTGTGGACATGCGGAGCGCAGGAGGAGGTGGCCCAGAGGGGGCAGGTAGGGCCATGCCCCAGGGGTCTTGTAGGGCATGGCGAGGATTTGGCGTCTTTGTCCTAAACCGGTGGGACGCCATCAACAGGCTTGAGGCAGGCGGGTGACAGAAGCTCCCACTGTGGGCCAGGCCTGGGCCGGCTGCTGGAGACAGAGATGAACGAGGCACAGCCTCGGTCCTGGAGGGGTTTGGAGAAAGCAGATGTCTCAGAGCGCTTTTCTCTGCTTAGGAATCTTAGCCACGATCATTGCTGTTTCTCAGTGCCGGTTTATAGCTTTCCAGTGACGGAAACGTAGGAGCCCTCGCGTGGCTTTCTAACAGGGAATGAACGGGTGGCTGGATGAAGGCAAGAAACCTGGTCGTCTGGAGTCAAGTCCAAGCCTGCCATGCCCTCGGGACGGCCCCTGGGGCGTGTCACCAGCATACTGGGGTGACAACTTGTTCCAGTTTGCCTGGGACTGTCTCTGTTTTAAACTGAAAGTCCCGTATCCCGGGAAACCCCTCGGTTGGGGGCAAAGTGGGGTGGTTGGTTACACACAGCGTCCCCTCCCCTCGGGGCGCTTTCGCTGGACAGCCAGGGCCCCGCTTCCAGGCACAGGCAGAGAATGGAAGTGTTTTCAGGTGGGAAGGACTCTGGAAGGTCACCTGATCTTGAGAGCCCCAAGTCCATGACAGTCCCTCTTTAGGGACCTTTCTAAAGTGCAGGTCCCCAGGGCCCCCCCCTGACCTTTGAATCAGAGTCTGTCCCTCCCACGCTGCCCTAAGCCTGCGCGGTGTTTGGGTGCCTGATCAGTTGGGGATTTTAGGTGCAAGCAACAGATACTCTAACTCATGTCAGAGATGGGACTGTGGGGTCCTTTGCAAGAATCAAAGGAAAAGCTGAAAAACAGGTCTTGGCACCAGCGGGTGCCAGGCAGTCGGTTTCAGGGAGGTGCTGTCGGAATCGAGGGACTCCAGCGGTATCACTTTGTCTGGATCCACATTTCTAGGAATGAGAGTCTGATTAGCAGAGACTGTCTTATGCACTCGATCCCCAGCCAGAGAAGGTCCGGGCACCTGACAGACACTCCCGCCAAAACTGCCCGGCCAGGAGAGGGGTAGGACCCCCACAGAAAGTCAGACCATTTGCCCTCATGCTGGCACCAATGTCTGTGAGTTTTGGGCCTGCAAGTGTTTCAATTAGGATGCTTTTGGTTGCACGTAAGAGAAAATCCAATTAATATGACGAGCCAAAAAGATGTTTATGTTTTTACATACTCAGTACCCTGGAGGTGGAAGGTGCCAGAGCTGGTTTGGCAGTTCATCAGCATTGAGCACGCACTTCCGCTCTTTCCATTCTTCTATTCTGTCATCTTGAGGGTCAGCGATAACCCCTTCATGGCTCCAAAAAGGCTGCTGCAGCTCCAGACATCCCATCCTGCCCTGACAATATCTAAAGCAGTAAGCAAGGGGAAGTAGAGCAATTACAGAAAGTTTTCTCTTCCCTCATCTCTTTCTTTCCAGGAAGAGATATTTTTCACGGAAGGATTTTCTGTGGCCAGAACCGGGACATGTACTGATCCCGGTAAACTACGACAAGTAAACAGGAACCAGATTGCCAGGGGAAGGGTTGGCAAACTAGGGCCCAGGGGCCAGATCTGACCTGCCACATGTTTTTATAAATAAAATTTTGTTGGAACACAGCCACAACCATTCATTTATGTATTGTCTATGGCTGCTGGCACACTGCAACGGCAGAGTTGAGTAGTTGTGACGATGGCCCACAAAAATCTACACAGTTTATTGTCTGGCCCTCTACAGGGCAAATTTATTGGCCCCTGGTGTAGACTGACTATGCTTATCCTTGGGGTTGGGTCCTTGGCTGTCCAAACAAAACTGGTTTCAGCAAGAATGGGAAGCGAAATAGCTACAGGGTAGGTGACAATATTCCACCACAAAATATTAGTTGCAATTTTTGCAATAGGCTAAAATAAATATCTATTAATAATGAAAGTTTAAGTTTGTCTTTAACTCCAGCCATATGCCCCTCAGTTACCTGGGGTGCACCATGCTCTGTGATTTATTCAAACTCTCGTTTTTGCCTGGGAGCAGTGGCTCACGCCTGTAATCCTAGCACTCTGGGAGGCTGAGGCGGGAGGATCACTTGAGGTCAGGAGTTCGAGACCAGCCTGAGCAAGAGCAGGACCACATCTCTACTAAAAAAAAAAAAAAAAAAAATAGAAAAATGAGCCAGGCCTGGTGGTGCGCACCTGTAGTCCCAGCTGCTCGGGAGGCTGAGGCAGGAGGATCACTTTAGCCCAGGAGTTAGAGGTTGCTGTGAGCTAGGCTGATGCCACTGCACTCTAGCCCAGGAGACAGAGCAAGCCTTTGTCTCAAAACCAAAAAACAAACTCTGGTTTTCTTCCCAATAGGTCTGTGCGTCATGATTGCGGCTTCCATTTATACAGACAGGCGCGAAGAACTTCACAGCAAAAACAAGCAATTCTACCCGCTGAGCTCGGAAGGCAGATACGGCTACTCCTTCATCCTGGCCTGGGTGGCCTTCGCCTTCACCTTCGTCAGCGGCATGATGTACCTGATACTGAGAAAGCGCAAATAGAGCTCCAGGAGCGGGTCACCTTTGCGGCAGCACGGAATCCACATTCAGATAACCGTTTTGTATATAATCATATTTTTTTGTGGTTTTTCTAGCAAACATATTGTTTCCTTTAAAAGCCAAAAAAAAAAAGAAAGAAAAAAGAGAGAAGAGTTTTTGCATTCTTGAGACCAGAGAACAGACTGTGAAGCTGGTGTTCGGGACTCCTGCCCACTCGAAAGTCTCAGCAAGGCCAAGGCAAAAATCCAGCAAAGCTCAAATCCAGAAATGCTCAGCGGCAAGTGTCTTAACCACGGGCCTGTGACGTGGTAAGACGAGAGACCGAGAAAGCCAGGTCTCTAGGGAGAACGTGCCTCCTGTACGTTCCGGCCGGGCCCCTTCTCACCTGAGCTTCCCTTCCCAAATCTGCCGTGGTTGAAGGGACGTGAGGAGGGGCCCAGGTGAGGGATGACAGTCTCCCCAGATGTTTAGCCCAAGTGCCATGTGAGAAGCAGTGTGGCCCTGGCATTCTGTCCCCATCCAAACCAGAGCCCAATCCTCTTGTAATGGGCTGGTCCGAAGAGTCCCATCCAAATTTGCAGACAGCAACCACCTGCTGGCCTTAGGGATGGTAATCCTTAACCTGGGTGGCAGATTCAGACTCACCCTAAGGCGAAAAGTCTCACCGTGCGATGCCTTAGAGCACCTTTTAAAATGCAGACCACAGGGCCCCTCCTCAGACCTGCAGAATCAGAGTCTTCGAGGGATAGAGCCCAGGAATCTGCATTTCTAACACGCTCTTTGGGTGATGCTTAGATGCATTAGAGTTGGGGACCACAGTCCCTGGGCCGGGCGAGCAGAGCTGCCTTGTAAATGCTCGAGATCTTGTCACCCCGAGATGGGGACGTGGGTCCAGCCCCCAGTGCGGGCAGCCTCAGCCTCCATCACCACAGCTGTTTACATCTGGGCCACTCAACTCCGGTCCCAGGCTGAACCGATAGCCAGACACCCTGTCTCAGAAACCCTCTCCCTGCTCCTCCTGCCCTGCGTTCTAAGGCTGCTGGCCTCTAACCCCTGTTTCTAGAGCCTCAGAGGACCCACCTGCCATTCATTCATTCATTCATTCATCAAGATAATAAATCCTGGCTTGTTTGCCATGTGTCAGGCACGGGGGACACCGTCTTGAGATAATCTCTCTCCTCTTGGGGGCTCATAGCCTAGCGGAGGAAACAGATTAAAAACCAATTAGGAAAACTAATTACACACTGATGGAGGCTGCAAAGAACACCACCAAGAATTCAAAATAGAGGCCCAAAGCACGGGAGGGAACCTGCGTCATGCGTGCGGATTTTAAGTGCTCCTGGAGGCAATCAGATCAGCGTAAATACAGCTCCCTTCAGCTCAGGCAGATGACATTTACCGGGCAGGGCCTGTCCACGTTGCATCCAGGAAACACTCCCGTGGAGGGGCTCACAGAGCCGGGGTTCTCGAGCTTTCGGGGTGCCAGTGCCCCTCGGGAGAGGCTGACTCGGCAGTGTCTGGGTGGTTCCGAGACTGTGCTGAGAAATAGGGCTTTGGGGGCTTGTCTTTCGGGGCCACCCCGGAAACGTTCTACGATGGAAGCTCTTTGCACCTCAGTGTCTTTTTCCGCTGTGTTCTGCGCATGGTGCTGGGCGGCGTCCCGGATGGGGGTGCGACCTCGTGCTACTGAAATCCTTTTGCTCTTCTGCTAAGTGGCGTGAGGGTTTGCCATGAGCTCGCTTCCAGGGAGCTGCGCAGACGTCTGGTCTGAGTAGGTTAGGGCCGCCGCGAATGCCTCTTCAGGATTGGGTTTTTCCGTCTATCCATTCATGCATTCATTTCTTTTCAACAAATAGTATTAACTCTTCAGTGTGTGAGGCACCACGTGAGGCTCTGAAAATACAGGGATGAGCACGCCCAGATATCCTCCCCGTCCTCATGGAGTTTGCAGTCTCTGAGACAGGCCCTCCTCCCCATGGCGAGGCCACCAGCCCAGGACAGGGTGATACAGGGCCAGAGATGGCACAAATGGTCACCTCCTGCCATGATGGAAAACTGTCGTTAGACACGTTGTGAATAAGAGCGTAGGTTACACCCCCGGGGCTTGCAGGATGCTGCGTAAGCCTCCCGGAGGAAGCCGAGTCTAAAGTTCCCTTCAAACTTTCTACACAGGGGCTTCTATAATGTTTTGGTAGTCACAATGGAAACAGACAAAACACCTTAGAACCAGAGATCTGGAAAGCCTAACCCCCAAGCAACGCATGAATTCCCTTCGCAAAAAAACTTCAGGGCTCCATGAGTGTGCGTTCAACGCAATCTGAAAGGACCCCGTGGCTGGTTGCCCCTACTCTAAGAGCATTCATTGGCCACATCCATCTGTGACACAAGGTTTTCCTGAGACACGAGAGATGCCTCTTCCCCGCCGTGTGACATGCATTTGGGAAGATGGAAAGAGACGATGACATCGGGGAGAAAACATCCCACCTTCTTACCTAGAGGTAGAATCAGTCCTCGCTGGTGCTTACTGTCACTTACTCAAGAACAACGGCGGCATTAGCCAAGACATCCAAGAAGCAAATATTAGGACCAAATAGAATACTGACAACAACTGTATTTGAAGGAACTGAAGTTTGCTCCTCTTACGACGTTTTTACAAAGTACTGTGATTCTTCCCTTGAGGGGCTGCTGTGATAGCCCCGGACTAACTCATCTTGTTATTTGCATTAAAATCATTTTGGGTCTCTGTACAAATGAGTTTGGAGAATGCTTGACTTCTCTGTCGCTCTGCGTGAACGTGCACACCCGTCCCTGCGTACAGGAAATTCGGAGACCTCCCCCCGCTCCCACACGCTCTGCCACGGTTTGCGTAGCTGTGTGCACGCGCCCCGTGAACAGGCTGGAGTCCCAGGACGCTCTGTGTTAACTGAAGATGGAGAAACCTAGAACTCCACGCCTGCGTGTAAACACACTAAACACAGCAGCCTGGATAGAAGTTGTATCGTAGTTTAAAATCTGTCTGGGCTGGGGGTGGGGTGGGGATTACTAAACTCGCTAATCGTTTAAAGGTTACTTACAAGAGTGCAAGCTGGAGAATTCGGTGGTGACGGGGAAATTCTAGGGATAGGCCTAGACGTGAATGTCGAATCTTTAGTTTGGGGGACAAATGTGATTTCAGAGTAGTTAGACACTTTCTACTTAATGTACTTTTAAAATAGTCCATTTTCTATGTTTTGTGTAATCTGAAACTGTACATGAAAAATAAAGTTTAAAACCAAATTGCCCAGAGCAACAGACTCTAGTGTTCCCAGCTGTGAGAACCTCCAGGGGCAAACGCTGCCATTGTGGGGGGCACAGGGTCAGCCGATTTCTCATCAAGATAGGAACGTACCGTTTTTTACAGCGAGCAATTGGTGATTGACAATTTGTCACAGGACCTTATCCCTTCTTGATGTCTTACTGGTCTAAGGAATCCAGTGTTCATGTTGAACACAGTCTCTGGCAGAAGTCATTAAATCATCATTTAAGATTAACATTGACCTCTGAGCTGGGGAGGGGACCACCCTGGCTACAGGGTAGACTTCTGCACCACGCTCTCAGAGAAGAGAAGGGTTTGAGTACTGGGCAGGCAGCCACCAGTGTCTGCTCCCAACCGTCCCTTGGCTTCCCACATCTGTGCACAGCTTTGTAACAATTTTAAAAATTCTTACATGTTCATGAAATGAACTAACCCTTTTCCGAGAGGACCCGAGGTCTCAACCAGTCACCACCTCCACCTCCCACGCTGGGGTCCCTCCACCGCCCAGCAGTGGACGGCTGGAAGTTAAGTCCGTGTCCTCCCAAATGTGCCTGGCATGTGATGCAGGGAAAGGAACAGGATGCTACAATGAGTGCTCCCCTTGGGTGTACAGCCTAGTGTCTCAGAGCCACTTC